CTCGACGCGTGGAAGACCCGGTACCTTTTACCTCTCCTACTGGCGTGCTTATAAAGGTCCATTCCCACTAAGCCGGCAGGCCACTCGACCCAGTCTACAGGGTCAGGCTACGAGGTCAGTCTACAGGCATCCGAGGGCCGGTGAGAGGAAGAGACATTTCGGATTGGGCATCGAAAAGCATGAGTCCGGGCGAAGCCGAAGCCGAGTGATACTCGCGCTTGGACTCTTCTTCAGGACGGGATGCGCTTTTATATTGGACATTTTGAGGTGAAAAATCCATGCATGTATGAAAAGTAACGGGAAATTGATGAGTCTCTTGAGATAAAAAATGTTGTAGATACAAAGAGAAACTTGGTTTCGATGAGTCTCCTGAGACAACATTGTTAGGCGGACTTTCATTTCGGATGAAAGTGCATGAAGAAGAGATTCGTTGGTCGATCTCACCAAATGATGACGGATGAATTGCGTTGTACTGCAGCCGTTTGGCTTTTGCACGACATTCATGTTGACGCAGTCCACGAGACTTCCTTCCTCGTTTCGGGTGACAACGTGCTGAGATTTCGTGCATCATATGATGCACATCATCAGAGCTGGGTGTCATTCTTGTAAAAGTCAAACGTTAACACTAGACCAAGAAGACTATCCGGCTTTATCTTACCTCTTATATAGGTAGATGGATAGTCTTTTTGGCCTAGTGTTAACGTTTGACTTTTACCAGAATGACACCCAGCTCTGATGATGTCCATCACATGATGGACGAAAGCTCTGCACGTTTTCATCCGAAACGAGGCAGGAAGTCCCGTGGACTGAGTCAAAATGCATATTGTATAAAATCAAACCGGCTGAAGTACTACGAGTTTCATCCGTCCTCATCTGGTGAGATCGACCAACGAATGTCTTCTTCATGCACTTTCATACGAAATGAAGATCTCCCTAATAGAAAAGGTTGTTGAGGAGACTTTCATTTCGTAAAAGAATGCATGAAGAAGATCTATCTCACCAGAAGACGATGTCTGATTCCCGTTGGACTGCGGCCATTTGGCTTCGATACTACGCTCAGGTTGATGTCGTCTACGATATATCCTCACTCGTTTCAGACCAAAACGGGATGAGCTTTCGTCCATCATATGATGTACTCCATCAGAGCTGAAACTCATTCTTGCTAAAGTCTCACGTCAACAGATCCTACGTCAAAAACGTGGATATGAAAACCAAGATGGTGTGGCCTTCTTCCTGGTCGCCGTCTCCTTTAGCTGTATCGTGTTGGTTCGACCTTATCTTCGCAACTTGGTCGGAGCGTCAGGGAAGCCTTATGGAACGTTTAAGATTGTACCCAGCCAATGGTACAATGCTGGAAATCACGAATACTATGACAGAGGACACGGGACTAGGTACGTTCCACAAGGTCTCCTTGACACTCCGTCCAAGTTGCGAAAATAGGGTCGAACCAACACTAAGTCAAGAAGACTATCCGGCTCTATCCTACCTCGTATATACGCTCTTATATATGACCATACATTTTCTTTTTTGAGTTATAAGTATACATGAGAGGTAAGATACAGTCGGACAGCCTTCTTGAATTAGGGTTTGGCAACGTGATACTTTCACAAGAATGAGTTCCACCTCTGAGGATGTTCTCCATCTGATGGACAAATGATCATCACGTTTTCACCCGAAGTATGGGAGGATGTCTCGTGAACTGCGTCAACCTGAAATTAGTATTAAAGCCAAACGGCTGCAGAGCAACAGGAAGTAGCCGTCGTCTTCTGGAGAGATCGACCTTCAAATCTTTTTTTCATGCAACTTGATACGAAATAAAAGTCTCCCCAAAAATATTATCTTAGAGCTTCATCGAAACCCAGTTACTCTTCTTATCTACAATTTTTTTGACACTTTCCTTTTGCATAAAAGTGTGTCTGATAAAGAGATTCGTTGGTTGAGCTCACCAGAAGAATACGAAACATGCCTGTTGTTATGTTCTCATTTGGATTAATTACGAAGTTCAGGTTCATGCAGTTAACGAAATATCCTCCCTAGGCATCATCAGGACTGGAAGTTCATGTTGCAAACCAAAACATATAATATCTAGATACGAAGAGAAACTTGGTTTCGATGAATCTCCTGAGATAACATTATTAGGGGGACCTTCATTTCGA